ATTTATCCCTTAACCATTTAATCTTTCTGCTTTCTAGTTCCTTTTTCAATCTGCTTGACAACCATCTTCCCGCTTTATTGGCATGTTCAAAGTAATTTTGCTTTGCTCTCCGGATTTTTTGCACTAACTCAGCTTGGTCCAATAAATTCATATGGTGCCTCACCAATCCTCTTGCTTCTTTCGCTATCTTATCTGTCGGTTCCTTTTGTAATCTCATTTCCCATTTCTCCAACCTGTCTACCCACTCTAGTCTCTCCTGCTTATCCTCCTTCCATTTTTTGGCCATATATTTAATCACGACCCCTCTCACCACTGCCTTAGCCATGTCCCATATTATTTGTAAAGATGTATCCTCTCATCTATTTTCCTGGAAGAAAAGAGCCAGCTCCCGTTTTAACAACTCCACAAAATCCTTATCCTTGTACAATTCTGCCCTCATCATCCATCGTCTTATGCTGCACTCTCCTTTCCAGGCAAGCATTAAACGGTTGTGATCTGCCCAATCATTCCCTAAAATTTCAACCTCCCGTATCATTTCTCCTAATTCTAACAACATCCATATCATATCAATGCGGGACCATGATTTATGCCTGGGAGAGAAAAAGGTAAACTGTTCCCTTGTCAGATAAAAGTTCCACCACATATCCTGTAGTCCAAATTCTTCCCTTAATTGATTCCAAATTGCCGGCAACATCTTCCTACCTTTCTTTTTCACTCCCCCCCTTTCCAGATTTATAATCCTTCTCTCTATCCATTATAGCATTAAAATCCCCCATAATACAAATATGTTCATACTCTAATTCTACCAATTTTTAATATACCCTTTTATAGAATTCCTTTGATTACTATTAGGGGCGTAAATACCCACCAGCAAGATACGTTTACCATACATTATTACTTTGACCATTAACAATCTTCCCTCTTCATCTGAGTATATCTTTTTAGATTCTATATAAGTTTGAACATAAATTGCCACACCCCGCTTCTTTTGGTCAGCCAGAGATACGTATAACTCACCCAATCGTGAACATCTTAATATATCCATGTGTTTCTTCCTAATGTGGACCTCCTGGAGACATATTATACCAGTTTTTAATTTTTGTAATTTTGAAAAGATCCTATTTCGTTTTATTGGAGCATTTAGTCCATTAATATTAATCAAAATCAAATTTCTAATCTTCTCCATATCCTCACTTCACTGTGGCTTTCACCTTTGTTGTTTGTCTTGTTTCTCGTCGGGTTCCTGGGATTTCATCTTCACTTATATCACTCTTTCCCCCTTTCGTTGTCTCTTTCAGTTTTCCGCTCTTTTCCGTTCTGTCACTCTTCTGGTTCTCGCAATTCTTTTGTTCCAGTTCTTCTTCACTATCGGGTTCGCTTGCATTAAACTGGTTTTCATAAAAATCGTGTGCATCTCGAACGTTCTAAATCTTCACTCTCTTTTCCTGCCACGTCATCATCAATCCCTCTGGAAGCAACCACCAATAAGGAACCCTATATTTCCTTAATTGTTCTGTCAAGAACTGGTATTTTTGTTTTTGCTCACGAACATGTCACGGGACCTGCTTTAATATCACAATTTCTCGGTCCTTATAAGTAATCTTTTGATCCCTAGTGCTCTGATATAATTCTTCTCTTAACGATTTTTTACTAAATTGGATGTGTATTTCACGAGGTAATTTATTCCGCCTGGAATAAGACCTCGTCTATATCAAGCTGTACCAGTTCCTTCTCTCTCCCAAGCACACCAGCTACTATTTCCCCAATTATATCTTCAAGCTGCTCGTCTTTCACTTCCATCACATTCTGAAATCTAAGATAGAAGGCAGCACGATCCATCTCCAAATGAATTATCTCCCCTTCCAACTCTTGATTTACTTGCATTAATCATGCTTCACATCTGTCCATTTTATTCTCTGATTTCTCCACTTTTGTTTCTATATGGTCAAATCTTTGTTCATGAGCCACTAATATTTCTTGAACTTCCTCATATTTTGAGTGGATGTGCATGATTTCCTGTTTGATACTTGCCATTTCCTCCTGCATATTTTCAAACTTTTTCATTGTCTGTTCCTGATTCTTTCTAATAGTGTTTTGTATCATCTGTAGCATATTTTGAAGTTCCTATCCTCCAACCCCTTTTTCCGGGAGTCTTACATCATCCACTGATCCTCTTAATGCTGGAGATGTTGCCGTGTGGGTGGGCACCATTGAAAGGGTTAAGACCTTCTACTTCATCACTGTTGACATAATTGCAAGCTTCCACCGCCTACCCCACTCTTGCATGCACTGGCTCTTTATCTAAAAGGATTACAAAGTAATTTCAGAGGCAAGAGCCAGAAATCCAATTTTCTACTCAATTCAATCCCTCTGCTACCACTTAATCACTCCAGCCTGTCAGTCGATTTGCTGCTTTCAATGGAGCCTCCCATGCTCCCTCTCGTCGGCTTTCCCTCGTACACACACCTCTCCAAGCAGTCCAATCCCAGCATGGGTTCCTCCGCTTCACTTATCTCTGTGTTGTAGGCACGAGCCTGGCTTCGGGGCTACCATCTGGAGCCCTCTTCCTCCGCTGGCATCCTGAGGGGGGATTTCCCTTCGCAAACCCCCACCGATCTCACTTCGGTGGGCTCGCTAGAACTTCCCCTCTTCTATACCCACCCCAACTAGGTGGGCAGTGGCCAATTCATGCCGCTTGGCGAGTAAAATCTATCTAAGGGACAAGGAGCAATCCACCTTAGCTGTAATGGCCAGTGACGTCACGCCCAGAAATCCCTCCAAGGTCACTTTCAACTCTGTTCTTTTCTTTTCTTTTCTTTTCTTTTCTTTTCTTTTCTTTTCTTCTCTTCTCTTCTCTTCTCTTCTCTTCTCTTCTCTTCTCTTCTCTTCCCTTCCCTTCCCTTCCCTTCCCTTCTCTTCTCTTCTCTTCTCTTCTCTTCTCTTCTCTTCTCTTCTATAAATATTTGAAAAAGAGCTGTAAATTCCTGGAGAATGACTGGAAGAACCTTCCCATGAAATGCTGAATCAATCTGTTTCAGACTGTAGTGGTGATTTGAAGAGATTGAATCATTCAGAGTACCTCCAATCTGGAATAATAGCAAGGAAAACATTGAATAAAGGCTCAAATTGGAATGTTTTCTTTTTATGTTTCTGCAGCTTCATAGGTTCCTGAGAAACTTCCAACATCACAATATTTCCAGAGATGAGATTTCTTTTGATGAAAATGGAGTTCCTGTTGGTGACTTTGATATCATACAGTGGACATCAGTTTTGAACAAATCAGATGCAGGGGTGAAAATTGGGAATGTAGAAAGACAAGCCTCCTCGGAAGTCAAGATTTCTGTCAATCAAAGTGCCATCCAATGGCCAACTTTATTTAACAAAGTAGTTGAGGCTGCTTGGATTTTGCTCTTCTATTTATCTCCATATGTGGAAATTTTTCTGTTCAGAAATAAGTCTTATTGAGGCCAATTGAGATAACTTCCAAATAAGAGAATGTAAAGCCACATTAATTCATTAGATATCATTTTACTTTAGAGGTTTTATAATAATCTATTACACACTGGAACCTGATGCATTGTATTGTGGGATTTGCAATCTACATTATTAAACTGGAATATGCTGCCATAATTTATAGTACATCAAATTATCTTGTTTTCAGTAAGAGAAAATCCAGATTGTCTATGGAGATTCTCAGTAATGCAGGTCACAGTTTTGTTTTCCTTTGAAGATGTTTCACTACTCATCCAAGAAGCTTCTTCAGTTCTGACTAAATGGTGGAGGATGGAAAGATTTGGAACTGCTGAAAAGACTGTGTTGTAGCCACAATCATTTGCACTATTTATGTGACCCTGAGGGCAGAGATTAATGGCCTCAACAACTTTCAGAAAGACTGCTAATGACCAAATGACGGTATGGAATATAAATCCTTCCATACTCCACCATTCAGTAAGAACTGAAGAAGCTTCTGGAATAAGAAGCGAAATGTCTTCAAGGGAAAACAAATATTAGTTGTTTTTTGAAAAAGCAGCTTTGGGAGAAAATCAAGAATATGAAGGGTTTAGCCCACTGAATTGCATAAGAGAAAGATATCACTAAGAATGTGGTGAGGGAAATGAGGGTAGCTAAAAAAGTCATTTATATATGATTGTACAATGATCAGTTGTAGGAGAAAAAGATAGGGACCCCAGAGAAAGTTAGATGTTGGAGGATTCCTGAGAAAGCAAAGATGGAGAAAAAAATATATACCGTATTTTTCGGAGTATAAGACGCTCTGGAGTATAAGGCGCACCTTAGTTTTGTGGGAGGAAAATAAGAAAAAAAAATCTGCCGTTGTCTACCAGCATCCACCAGTATTCATCTGGCTAGCGTCCTGTCAGTGTGTAAGAGAGTTGAGAGCTGTTTGGAAAGTGAAACAGTATTTGCTGTGGGAGCAACAAGTAAGGAGCCTGGGTGTGGCTTAGGTCAATTGTTCTAAAGCTGCATGCTGTGCTGATCTCTGAAACTGAAACTGAAACTCCTCTGTTCTACTTGTGTTTTCCTTTCTGCTACAAATTCTGACAATCCTTGCACAAACAGCCAGATCAGCTTCAGTAAATTATTGCAGCCTGATTCAGCATGAGCAGCAGATTGGCAGGTGGATCCCAAAATACCCCCAATCAGCTGTTCCAGGCCGTAGGGATTGCCAAAGAACATCACCTCCTCCATGCCACACATTTTTGGTTACATTGGGTGAATAAGACGCACCCAAATTTTCACCCACTTTGCGGGGGTATGTGTGTGTGTTTTATAATCTGAAAAATAGGGTAAATTATAGCATTCTTATACACGCACTAAGAATAAACACCTTTTGCAATTGAATTACTTACATTTTGAAAAAAGAATGAGGCAATGAGTCTGTTTTGAGATCTACAATGGAGACTGATAGAGAAAGAGAATGACCTTTCATTGTCCTCTTGCAAGTAGAGTAATTAAAGTTCATGCCACTACTTCTTGACTGACTTTGCTCAATGTGCTCCTGAGCTTCTGGAAACCACTTGATTTCACTAAATCCTTTTAATTCATACATTGCCTTGATTAATCTTTCTGTTTATGTTTAGATGGTGCCTTATTCAAGATGTACAGAAAGTTGCTCCCCAGGTTATGCCAAGCTTGTGAGAGAGGGAGCCCCAGTTTGCTGCTATGACTGTTCTCTGTGTATGGAAGGAACATTCTCTGGGCAAGAAGGTACAGTAGGTGGCTCCAAAAATAACCCCCCAAAATTCAAGATACAATCAATATTCTATCTTGTTTTTTGGGGGAGTATTTGATCAAGAAGTAAGAAAAACAATACATTTCTTGAAGGCATCCACAAACTTCAAAGATTGGGCACTATCGCCAAATTTGGGTGATGATGTGAGCATTAAAATAAATAATGAAAGGTTGCTGATTTCTATTGAGTTGTTACTTTCTTGCTTTGTTTTAGGAAAGAAGATTTGAGAACTGATAGTCACATTCATCTTCAGCCTTTAAAGAGTGTTAACTAATGTAGTATCACATGGGTATCTCTGGGGAGAAATATTATATTATTCCTTGAGAATGAAGTAATTGATTTCTGATGCGGTTTTCATGCTCCTACAGCTATAGAAACAGATTCATGCTAACCATTTTTTTCTCAGATGCAGCCCATTGTGAAAAGTGTCCAGATGACCAGTATTCCAATAAGAAGCGAGATCAGTGTGTCCCCAAAAATATAAGCTTCTTATCCTATCAAGAATTGTTGGGACTCATCCTGGCTTTCTTTGCCATCGCTTTGTCCCTAACCACCGCCTTTATTCTGGGAATCTTCATGAAATACCGAGACACTCCCATAGTCAAAGCCAACAACTGTGAACTCACCTACATCCTCCTGGTTTCACTCCTGCTTTCTTTCTTGACCTCCCTTCTATTCATCGGTCGCCCCATGAAAATGACCTGTCTCCTTCGACAAACCATTTTCAGTGTTGTTTTCTCAGTTGCTGTGTCTTCCTTGCTGGCCAAGACTGTCATGGTGGTGGTGGCTTTTCTGGCCACAAAGCCAGGCAGCAGCATGAGGAAATGGCTGGGGAAGAGTCTGGCCAACTCTATTGTTTTATCCTGCTCTGGTATTCAAGTAGGCCTCTGTATGATGTGGCTGGGAGTCTTTCCCCCATTCCCAGATTCTGACTTTCATTCCCAACCAGAACACATCCTGCTGCAGTGCAATGAAGGCTCTGTCACCATGTTCTACTCTGCTCTTGGCTACATGGGTTTTTTGGCTGCCATCTGTTTCTTGGTGGCATTTCTGGCTCGAAATCTGCCAGGGGCCTTTAATGAAGCCAAACTGATCACCTTCAGCATGTTGGTTTTTTGTAGCGTTTGGATCTCCTTTGTTCCCACATATCTGAGCACCAAAGGGAAATACATGGTCGCCGTGCAGATCTTCTCCATCCTGGCCTCTGGCCTGGGTTTACTGGGCTGCATCTTTATCCCCAAATGCTACATTATTATCCTGAGACCTGACATGAACACCAAAGAACATCTGATGATAAAAAATCATTAAGTTTCTTTGTGTTGGTGTTTATTTTTGTACAGTTTTGTACAGCATAAAATCACATACTTTGAAGGAATGTTTTATGTGTTGTCACTTATCTTCTTCATTCCATGTGAATTTTTAATTATAATAATTATAATAATTGAGTATTAAAGTTGCTAAAACAACTCAAATTATCTGAAATAATCATATCCTTCAATTGTCCTAATCTGAATTCATATTATGACATTAATAAAATTTCTGAAACCAGGCCAGATAAACTGTAAACAGACATTTTGTGATATGGTTTTTATGATTAAATTAAAGACTATGGCTAATGATGGGTGTTTTTGTTACTATATACGTTGGTTGTGCAGCTGTTATATTTTATTTTCTGGGGTGATGTTCTGAATTTTTTTTAAAAAAATAGTTAATTTAAAATATATATTTGATTGATCTCTTCTGGCTGGATAATGTAAGATTACTCTAGGATAGATAAATGAGATAGATAGATAGATAGATAGATAGATAGATAGATAGATAGATAGATAGATAGATAGATAGATAGACAGATAGACAGACAGACAGAAAGATGGGAGATATTGGGAAAGAGAAAAACAGAGAGATAGATAACTTTCTATATATTCAGAATAGATCAAATATCAACATGAACATTGGAGCAATTTTAATTTTTTTCTCCATCCCTTTGAATAAATTAATGAGACAAATTATTATTTTTAGCAGTCTTCAGTCAAAAGAAAAATATGTACAGCTCTGAATGATTTGGGGGGGGGATCATATAGACATGCTGTGACAATGAAGATGTGCTTATGAGAATTAAAATTGGTTCCTGTTTTTTATCCATGTCCATATCCATTTCAATACCCATTTCCATTTCCATATCCTGTACATACAGTAGCATACAGTGCTTTGTATATACAAAGCACTGTGAAGTGTTATATAAGTCTCCTATTGCTATTGCTATCATGAAGAAGACAATAACGGGCCATTGTTTTAGATTAATGCCCCAGGGAATTTTGACTAGATCTTCTTTGTAAACATTAAGACTGATAGTCTCTTCTACATTTTGAAAGATACAAGACATTTAACAGGGGGCTCCAATAGCAATAGCACTTAGACTTATATACTGCTTCATAGTGCTTTACAGCCCTCTCTAAGAAGTTTACAGAGTCAGCCTATTGTTCCCAATAATCTGGGCCCTAATTTTACTGACCTCGGAAGGATGGAGGGCTGAGTTAACCTTGAACCTGGTGAAATTCGATCTGCCAAACTGCTGGCAGCGGTGATCAGCAGAAGTATCCTGCAGTACTGCACTTAGCCACTGCATCACCGTGGCTCATCATCTACAACAATAGGTGGTTCAATATGTCATGATCTGGAATTAACCATTCAAACCTTTAGTGAAGAAGATGGCCTCATCCACACTAGACAAAATAAGAAAGAATTATAATGGCCCCCTGCCCAGTTCAAGAGTGTTGAACTGTTTTTCCACATTTTAATCTTTACACTCTCAAGAATAAGTTTGGAGACTAAAAAACCATCAAACTTCCCTGAATTGTTCCTTTATCAACTCTCAAATTAGGATTATTCTCCTGAGTCAAAGAAAACTCTTTTCTCCAACGGCACACTTTTATGGCCAAGGCTCGTTCCCAATTCCCCTTCTAATTATCAAAATCATGATTATTTATTCTCCTTTGAACAAGATTCATGGGATTTCCACCACCACAATTAGTTGCTAATATATGTGACAACAAATGGCATAGACAGCATGTGATAATCTGATTTGTAACAGCCTGATCCCTGTTCTGTGATGAGATCAGAGTTTGGGGTAAAGATAGGCAAATACTGTAGCAGTCTGAAATTGCAGATAGCTCTTCCAAATCTGGGGGCAAACTGGACCTTCTTCACTGTAATTGTGGTCTTTTTGTGATCTCTGAGATTTAACTCTGTGCTGAAGAAAGAACTCTAGGAAGGATCTCCTGCAGTATACTGTATGTCAAATGTTGCTGCTGCTGCATATACAGCTTTTTCTGCTTCAGTTTCTGTCTCAAATTCCCTGTGCCAGTACACTGATGAAATGTCCATTTAAGGTGATCATAGAAGAAAAGGAGTGGTTCCATTACTACAAGCCAGGAGACTACTGGATTACGGGAATAATGTCTGGACTTGTAGCTCGATTGTACCCATTTTCATTCTCCGAGCCTCCAACCTACCAACTGAAAAGGTAATTGTCAACTTGTTCAAGGATTCTGGTGATTGATTTTAATTGCTCCAATGTCGTTTTCCTACGTAACCAAGGTTTTTCTGCAGCCCTAGCCCAGAATTGAGTGGATGTGACTCCACTGAGCTAGGGCTGTAGAAAAATCTTGGCTACGTAGGAGTCACATCCACTCGATTCTGGGCTTTTTTCTTCTGGCAGCCAGCAGGCCCTATGCTGCCCTATGCTGCCTAGCGAGATACTTATATAGATCTATTTCTGGCTCGTTAACCATCATCAGTAAGCCATACGCACATCTCATGTATCCTCCCTGTAAAGGTACAATATCTATTTTCTTACTTTTTGTAGGCTTTATGTGTGTTTTTCTTCTACCCAGGTTTTTCCTACGTAACCAAGATTTTTCTATAGCCCTAGCTCAGTGGAGTCACATCCACTCGATTCTGGGCTTTTTTCTTCTGGCAGCCAGCAGGCCCTATGCTGCCCTATGCAAGATCCCAGCTCAGAATCCTCTAAATTCCCAAACAAAAACCTTTTTAAGGTCTTTCAAAAACTCTGGCTGAAATGCTAACCAACACTTTAAAGGTTAGTCAACGTTTCGACAAGCTCTCTACCTTGTCATCTTTGGACCTTTACTATCAGTTTAGAAGCTGTGGGTCATGCTTCATTATACTAGCTGCAGCTTGAATGCGTGTTAACGGTCCAGTTTTCTCTGGCTCCCTATTACCAACTGTCAACTGCAAAGAGGTAAGAATTCTGGTAGGCATTGCAGCACCACTGGTTGCCTGTTGAGATCTTAGCATATCTTCTGTCTTGGTTCTCTCTCTCTCCCTATTGCTAGCTATCAACTGCAAAGAGGAAAGGGTTCTTGTATGCATTACAACACCACTGGTTGCCTGTTGGGAACTCTGCCTATCCTCTGATGTTAAAATTCGAGTTTCCCTCAGTGCAGGTTTCCAAATACTTGATAACCTAGAGGCGTCATCTCGTCTATTCATATTGTGCGGCCTCTTTTCAATTTCGATAGCCTCCCTAATTATTCTCTTATTAAGATGTTCCTCTTTTACCACTGTTCTAGCCTTGTTGAAATCTATATTATGTCCCATGGCCTTCATGTGTTGTACCAAAGAAGAAGTTTGCTCTTCCTTTTTCATTGCATTTTTATGTTTTATGTTTTTATAGGCCGTGCAGATCTGGATGGGGAGAAACAGACTCAGGCTCAACCCATCCAAGACCGAGTGGCTGTGGTTTCCGACATCCCGATATAGTCAGTTGGTGCCATCACTGACTATTGGGGGCAAGTCATTGGCCCCCACGGATAGGGCTCGCAACTTGGATGTCCTCCTGGACTAACGGCTGTCTTTAGAAGAGCACATGATGGCCGTGGCCAGGGGGACTTTTTATCAGGTCCGCCTGATTTGCCAGTTGTGTCCCTTTCTGGATCGGGACTCGTTAAATACGGTCACTCATGCTCTCGTTACTTCCCGCCTGGACTACTGCAATGCTCTCTACATGGGGCTCCCCTTGAGGAGCACCCAGAGGCTCCAGCTGGTCCAGAATGTGGCTGTGCGGGTGGTTATGGGAGCGACGTGGCGCTCCCATGTGACCCCCCTCCTGCGCAAGCTGCACTGGCTCCTGGTGGTCTTCCGGGTGCGCTTCAAGGTTTTGGTTACCACCTTTAGAGCGCTCCATGGCATCAGACCAGGATATTTACGAGACCGCCTTCTGCTACCAATAGTCTCTCACCGACCAGTACGCTCCCATAGAGAGGGGCTCCTCAGGGTGCCGTCGGCCAAACAGTGTCAACTGGTGGCCCCCAGGGGGAGAGCCTTCTCTGTGTGGGCACCTACCATCTGGAACGAGCTCCCCCCAAAGATACGGAGGATCCCGGACCTGCGCACGTTTCGTCGTGCTCTCAAAACTTTTTTATTTCAGCAGGCTGGCCTGGCCTAACTCTCCTCTTTTAAATTTTTAATTCGTGATTTTATAAATTGGATGTTTTAATCTGTGTTTCAGCCAAAATATTTAATAATTTTAATGGATTTTTAATATTTGTATTATCTGTATTTTATCTTGGCTGTTCACCGCCCTGAGTCCTTCGGGAGTAGGGCGGCATAGAAATTTGATTAATAAATAATAATAAATAAATAAATAAATGTTCTTCTAAATGCACACTTATTCGTCTATTCGTCTGTCCAATATAAGATGACTGACAGGAGGTACATGGTATTTTGTATATTCCTTGATTTTCCAGCTCAATTTTATCCTTGGGGTTTCTCAACATCATTGATATTTTTCTATCTGTGTGGAACACTGTTTTTATCTTTTGTTTCTGTAGTATCTTGCTAATTTTATCAGTGGTTCCTTTTATATAGGGCAGGATGGCTTTTTCCATCTTCTGTTCTTCTTGGGTTTCTCTCTGTCCTGATGTCCCTTGTCGAATTATACTTTTAATTTTATTTTCGTGGAACCCATTTGCTATTAATACCTCTGTGAGAGTCTGAAGCTCTGTTTGTACATATGCCTCATCTGCTAGACGTTTAGTTCTAGTGATTAAAGTTTTTGCTACTGAATTTATTTGTGAGGGATGATGGTGTGAGTGTGCATTTAGGTATCTATTTGTGTGTGTCTTCTTTTGGTAGACACTATGTCCTAGGGTGCCATCAGTTCTCTTATATATTATAAGAATGGGAGTTGATTTTCACTCTCCATTTCCATAGTGAACTGTATCTTTGGATGCATGTTATTCAAATGTGCTAGAAAATTGTCTAGCTTGTCTTTTCCACGGGGCCAAATCACAAACGTATCATCTACATATCTGAGCCATAATTTTGGTTTATAAGTAGTTTGTTCCAACGCCTTAATTTCTAATCCCTCCATGAACAGATTGGCAATAACTGGGGAGAGCGGTGATCCCATTAGTGCCCCTTGCATTTGTTTATATCTTTGCCCTTGGTACCTGAAATAGGTGTTAGATAGGCAATTGGGTGTATCTTTCTCTTTCTCCCTTGCCTTTCGCTTCCCTTCATTCCTCAGCTATTTGCAAAGCTTCCTCAGACAGCCATTTTGCTTTCTTGTATTACTTTTTCTTTGGGATGGTTTTATTTGCTACCTCTTGTACAATGTTGCAATACTCCGTCCATAGTTCTTCAGGCACTCTGTCTATCAGATCTAATTCCTTTAATCTATTTGTCACCTCTACTCTATATTCATCAGGGATATGATTTAGTTCACACCTGAGTGGTATTGATTTTAATTACATTTTATGGATTGTTGTGAATTGATATGAGTGATATATTAGCTTTATAAATAGGTAAGCAGATAAAATAAATGCTTTGGTTTTGCAAAAAGTTTATTCTATGCAGATTGAAACAGTTACAATAGTAAGAAACCTTCATACTTTCTTTTTGAGTAGAAGAAGGTGTGGAGGTTTCTTACTATTGTAACCATTTTCCTTACCTGGCTCCTGAACTATAAGAATAATTTTCCTCATTTTTTCCCTCCAAGTCATAATGTGGAGAAAATGATAGGCAGAATCAGTTCTGGTGATTTTGATAGGATTCCTTTGATCCTGACATAACAAGCTTGCTATCTCTCTCTGATATTTATTTTTGGCAAGAAGCTCCTAGTGGTGTCAATGGGACTGTTCTTCTCATAGAAATTTCAAAAATGTCTATCACTCGCAAAATTCAAATAAATTGAATAATTGAATTGAAAAGTCAACTTGCAAAGCATCCCTGGCCTGCTCTTGAGTTGCCATAGGCAAGTGGGATGGGAAACCGACAAAACAGCACAGCAGCCAATGACAGATGCACATTCTAGACTTATATCTCTCAAGGCTGTATCCCAGGGTTACCACAGCGGCCGGAGGGGAGTGATCTCTACAACCCGCGAAATTGCTCTGTTGGCGAATGTGATTGATGACACACCATTGGGGTGGGGGAGGAAAACAAGGTCATGATTGGGGCATTATTTATGTGGGGTCAGAATTGGCTTCACTTGGGAAAGTGCCTACATGAAGCTCCTAATAACTAACTGGATTTCTTTTGAAGCTTGGTTTGAGGCTCATGATTTAATTAGGGCATCTGTCGGATCCCTGACATGAATAAAGAGAAGTTGATTATCTTTTTGGCATTGCACTATATAGATATAAAGCTACAGTAAATATGACATGCTTTCATGAAAATCCAAACTGAAGATTTATTTCTTTCTTTATTGAAATTTGTCAAAGAAAAATGAGAAGACGAATAAGAGAATATAAATTCAATGACAGGGACGATAGGGGTTGTGAAATTCAATTTTTTTTTACTATCAGTTCTGTGGGTGTGGCTTGGTGGGCATGGTGTGGCTTGGTGGGTGTGGCTTGGTGGGCAAGGCAGGGGAATGATGCTGCAAAATCCCCATTACCACCCCACTCTGGGGCCTGCCAGAGGTGGTATTTGCCAGTTCTCCAAACTACTTAAAATTTTCACTACTGGTTCTCCAGAATCTGTCAGAACCTGCTGAATATTACCCCTGGACGATAGGCACATTAGTGCACTTACACACACTCCCTCTATTGACCACGTAAGTATAATGTAAGTTCCATGGAACTCAATTTGTGACTGAAACTGTGGAAATTTGTAGCTCAGACAACTGAATCAGGTAGGGCATTCCAGACTTTGACAACAATTTACATGGTGTTTAAAGCAGTTGTTTGCACACATATTATTGCAATTAAAACAGAAAAGGTCATTTACAGGTAAAACATTATTACATAAAATTTTGAATTCAATACCTAGGCCTGAATGCAAGCAACACAGCTCTAAGTTATCCAAACTGAGAATTTTGAGCCTAGTAGCATAGGGAATTCTATTGTGTACAGAAGAGTGCAAGACTTTTCTTGTGAAATACTTGTGAAGCCGCTCAATTGTACTGATGTCAGATATATGGTGAGGAATCCAAACAGTTGAACAATACTCTATGATTGGTCTAGCATAAGTTTCATAAGCTCTAATGAACAATACAATGTTT